ATTAAATAAAAAATCTTGTAAACATTGTGTAATCGCGGGTGATTTTAACATTGACTTATTAAAACAAAACAGTGTAACATGTGATTTTGAGAACTTATTATTGACGTACAATATGACTTTAGCTGTAAGAGAACCGACAAGATTGATAAGTAAAACGTGTATCGATAATTTTGCTCACAATTTCAAAAAACCATGTAAGACGGAAGTGCTAGAATTGGCTTTGTCAGATCATACGGCGCAGCTGATGATGTTCCCTGTTAGGAGGGTACCTGTAATTAAGATATGGAGAAAAAGAACTCGTGATTTTTGTGATGACAATATATCAAAATTTATGAAATGTCTTAATAATTACTCATTCTCTGAGATATATGCAGAAACTGACCCCAACAGGGCATACAATTTCTTTAGCGAACATTTCGAACTGTTCTACAACCTTTGTTTTCCATTCAAAACTATCACTGTACATGTAAATAAAAAACAAAAATGGATATCTCGTGGAATAAAAAAATGCAGTATCAGAAAGCGCCAACTATTATGGAATTATAGATTAAAACCATCAATTGAAACAAAAAACATGTTTATTACATACTCTAAATTACTTAAAAAAATTATTAGACTTACAAAACGTTCACAAAACAATTATAAAATTAAATCCTCTGACAATAAATGTAAGGCTACGTGGCAAATAATAAATGATTCAAGATTAAATATCCCAATTGACATTATAAGTAAAATTAAAGTGAGCAATGATACAATTTCTGATCCCAACGTTATGGCCAATGCCTTTAATAATTACTTTGTTGATAAAATAGTACCCATATCCGGTCGTGGCAAAAAAGTAACATCGCGGATTGCAAGCACGATTAATTCTATTTTTATGGCTCCATGTGTACCAAAAGACATACACAAAATTATTTCCGAGCTGAAGAATACTAACAGCGTAGGTTTTGATGACATTTCAACTAAAATTATTAAAATCTGTAACCGACATATATGTGGACATTTAAGTCATCTTTTAAACTTATGCATTAGTAACGGTGTTTTTCCTGATCATTTGAAAGTAACTATTGTAAAACCACTGTATAAAAAGGGTGATAAAGAACTATTACAAGCCTATAGACCTATTGCACTGTTATCAATATTTTCTAAAATTTTTGAAAAGTATATTTATAACCAATTATATACTTATTTAGAATCTAATAAACTACTATGTGATGAGCAAAAAGGTTTCAGAAAAAACAAAAGTATCAATTTGGCTATATATGATTTTTACAAAACAGTGCTAACAAACGTTGATAAAAGGACTCCCATATGTGCCATATATTGCGATATGACTCAGGCTTTTGATTACGTGGACCACCGAATACTATTAAACAAATTAGAGTCTTATGGTATACGAGGCAGTATTCTGGATCTACTAAAATCATATCTTTCTGATAGATCTCAGATGACAACTATATCTAGGATTAATATCATGACTAAGAATCAGGAGTCTTATTTGTCTGAGGCGCGTAGCATTACTTTTGGTGTACCACAGGGCAGCGTACTGGGTCCGCTTTTATTTATCATTTATATAAATGATCTGCCTAAATTTACCACCCACCCGATGTCGCTTTTTGCAGATGATAGTACTGTATCTGTACAGTGTAAGACAAAGGAATTATATCAAGATGACATAAACAATTGCTTAGAATCAATTATTAACTGGCTAGATAATAACAATCTTAAAGTAAACTTATTAAAAACTCAAGTTATGCACTTTAGCCAGAGACCTCAGCCTCATGATATTCATATAGATTACGATAGTAACCCTATACACGAGGTTGAATCAGCGCAATTCCTAGGCCTAACTATCGATAGGCAGTTGAATTGGAAGGCGCATATAGCAAAATTATGCAAAAAGGTGAGCAGTTCTGCATACGCTATGTGCAGATTGGCCCGAGTAGTTAACATCGATGCTTCACTTACGGCCTACCACGGCCTTGTTGACTCTGTCTTACGGTATGGGATAATCTTCTGGGGAAACTCAACAGATAATGCGCTGGTTTTTAAGGCCCAAAAACGTTGCATACGAGCCATGTTTCACCTGGACTCGACTGACTCTTGTAAACCGTCCTTTATAGCACATAAAATTTTAACACTTCCGTCACTATACATATTAGAGACAGCACTGTTTGTTCACAAAAACCCTCATCAATTTGAACAAATTTCTGATGTGATAAAAAGAAACAGGCGCAAAATTAATGGTAATAGACTGTGTCTGCATAGTGCAAAAACTACTCTGGCACGAAAAAGCGTATTATGTATGGCGCCAAAAATATATAATAAAATTCCTAATGATATCAGAAATTGTAATGTAAGATTATTTAAAAATAAATTGAAAATAATTCTGGCCAAGAAATGTTATTATAGTATTCATGAATTCTTAAATGAAAATAATTTTAATATGTAATTGTATCTCATATTATTCTTTATAAATGTATACCTAATTGACTGAATCATAAAATTCTTATTTGTCTAATACTAATTTGATTATATTGTAAAATGACTCATTCATATTGATGTATTTAATTTAATAATACTTTTGCGCGCTGTGTTCCACGGCAAAACATGCTGTACTTAAACATTTTATTCAACATCTTGTTCCCTACCATGTTTTGTGCAAATAAATAATTTGATTTGATTTGATTTGATTTGAATATTAAATAAAAAAATCTAAAGAACGGAAACTATGAACGGATCCCAATTTTATTACCTTCTAAATCAAAACCATTAAATTGACCTGTGCGTTTGTTACAACGATACTGTAAGACCTAAGAAAGGACATATAATGGTAACTAGTTGTTTAAATCCTGATTTCGATCCCGAAAGGCTTCGATTATAGCAATTTATTTAACGTGTTTTCAAAACTTTAAATGGTATTCTAATTTCTAAAATTGTACCTTGGATAACATTTTTGTCTTTATTGCTATATGCGAGATAGATACTCCAGAATCTTCAGATAATCTGTTGCAAACTACTTAAAGTAACCAAGTATTTAAATATAGATATAAATACAGATAAACAGCTATATAGTGAGTACCTAACTACTCTTGTAAATGCTTCCTTTTAACGTTTCTTACTTTTCAAAGAACCTATTTCTTAGACGACTTTAACGTTGCAATTAATTGATTGGAAACTGCTCTATAAGCTGCTTCCGCTGAAACATCGCTTGTGCATAACCGTTATACCTACCTGCAATTTCTTACATCACGTGGTCTCTAGATATATGTGCTTGTGGAATCTTATAGTAAATATTATAGATGGACATCAAGGATCAACGAAACAAAACTAAGTTTTACAAAGTTAACAAGTGCTTACGAATTCTTACAGGTTTGATTTAATAACATTTTTTAATACAACAATAATCAATTAATAATAAATCGATAATACAATTTGCTAAAGACATGCTTGCATACCTCTTTAAAGTATAGGTACAGAAAAAAAAATCTACATAAAAACTAATAGCATTGCGGTATGCCAAAAACAATAGGAACATAAAGTCGGAAACAATTACCTGTTCTTTACTCTGTTGTTCAATCGTCAGTTTGTCGCGCAAGCTTCGTTTCGTTTCTTGAAAGGAACTACGCTGTTGCTTTTCACTTATTGCATATGCAGTACCACCCAACATCGTTGCACCGAGCAACAAAGCGCCATTTGCAATTTGCTGCAGAACATTTGGAGATTAAAAATGTATCTATTTCAATATCGGAATGTAGATAGACACAAGACTCACTTGAAAATAAAAGTCGTCAGCCAGTCTGCTCTCAGATGTAGAAGCGTTATAGTATTGCACCAGGAGATATCCAGTAAACGATATTGTGCTGTATAAGATGAGCAGCACGTGATGTAACGGGAGAGTAGCGAGGGTGAAATACTGAAGCACCACAGCCCACCCTAGTAGCTCGTTGTACGAATCTCCCAGTCGCCGAGACGCACTCACCAACAGTTGGACCCAGAGCACCAACCATGCTATATGGTTAAGGAGAGTGCGCGCGGGCCGAACGCACAGGTACACGGATGCCAGGATCAGGTTCGCTACCAGTGCTATTGCGACTGAAGCGTAAGCGAACGAGAGGTCTCGCTCTCCAGGCACAACCACTGCAAACGCCTGCAACAGCGCGCCGGTCGCCAACAGCCGAGGCACGGCTCTTTGCCGCTGTCGCTGTGTGTATGCCGAGTACAACTTTTCTTCTTCTCTGTCTGTGAATCCCCATGGCGGCACTAAACATATCCAGCATGGTGACTTGTTCAAAGTTCTCGCTTGTATTGGTTTCTCCATTGCTTCTAATATTTACTTTTGTACAACTTCACCAGTTTAAGCCATTTATTGCAAGAAATGTTCTCCATTATTGTCATGACTACTTTCAGAAAGACAATAAAACTGTAAAAATAAGTGAGGTAAGTAGGTTGAGCGTGTGATTTATGCGGAAGATAGAACAATGATTTATTGATTTTACTTGACCACATTGAAAAGGAAATTATAAAATGCTCATTGCTTATGTGTAGACGTCATAATGGCAGATCTCATTGAATTTTAGTATCTAAACTCTCTTTGCCGTAAAAATATTCGAAATGGCAGGACTCCTAAATACTAAATGATTTATTTCATATAATATATATTATGTAAGTGGCAGGAGCATGACTCACGGACTGCTATTAAGTTAATAACAAAAGTAATATCATGTCCAGCATTCTTAAAGGGTCGTTAAGGAAGACTATTTGTTATTGACTGAGTCATATTGTATTGTATTACTATTGTAGGCACTTTACAAATATTGCAAATATCATAACATAAAAATAACATTTTTAAATTGTACACATTTAAGAATCCAAGCTTTGTAACAAGAATGAAAATAATGCAAACAAAATAGGATATTTCAATATTTTACAAATCACTAGCAAATTACGTGTAAGTGGCATCTTTTAAAAATAAGGTTAAATATTTGTAAACAATAGTTCGTTGCATAAATACAAAGAATCGTGAACTTGAACAACGTGTGTCACATCGTACGTATGAACGTCAGAGAGATCATCAGGCGGAGACTTTCCGTTAGCAAGACGGCTTGATCGAGGACGCCTGTGTAATGAATAAATTACACGCTAAAACATTGTTCCAATATTCATTCATTAACTGGGCCGTTTCAAGACATGTAACTACTTACCCATAGTTTCGTCGACTGATTTCAATATTGACAATCGTTACGATGGATGTTAGTGATGTGACCGTGAAACTTAACTCATAAGTTATTTGTTTCACTTATACGGCTCATTGCCAACACTTATGACTAACTTAGTCACGGTTTATGTTTGTGTTGAAATTTCAAAAATGAATTTGACATATTCTATTTTCAAACAAATTTAATTTTGGTTCTGTATAAGTAAATGAATCGGGAAACAATCGAGATCATTTAGTAGTTTACTTAAAATTGTATTAAATTAGCATTAGTCAACCCGTTAAGTAAATTCTCTTAAATATTCGCTCTTAAATACTAACAGCCAAAAGTCTGTTAATGTTCATGTCTCTGTTCTCGTGAATATGGTCATCAATTAGGTAGGTATATACGTTGACAATGTGTCAACAAAATATGAAGACAGGTTGACAAATTGATTTCCGTTCCATTATTAAATGTGGTTATGATAATAAAATTGTTTAAGTCATTTAGTGCAAAATTACCAATTGTTACAGATAAAATATTAGTTCTTTCCCGCGGTTAAAGTCGTGTATTATCTTCCTGTTACAACATAATATTAGATGGACGAATGACCTTTGACAAGGATGCCTTTAATGTGTTGTAAAAATTTACCCAAATTTTATTAAAATTAATACATGTTTAATACACAAATAAATTGAATTATCTACAGATGATAAATTACATCCCTCTTCAGATTGATGTACGAGTAAGGTGTGTCTAATACAGATAACCTACCTACACACTGCTGTTAAAGAGATATAAACTAGTTTAACTAGGATTCATTTTCATTCCAGAAACAGTACAGGAAGAGCGGCATATACATATGAGAATGACTTAGCACTTAGAATGAGCTTCAATGAAATCTGAAAAACTGCATTAAAATACAGTTAAAAATAATTTTCTGTGTTGTAGATATGTATTTGTGTTCATAAGAGAGGAATTAACACGCATTGTCTAATTAATATTAATACCAAAATCACTACGTTACATTAGTATAGCTAATAGAGGCATCTAATTAAGTGCACAGAATACCAAAATAAGAATTTCACATTGAATATTGTCATTTCAGATATTACAAATAAGTACACAGTTTAATCAAGACACTTTGGTCGGCACATCGTTATTGTCAACAAAGGGTTAGAATAGATTATGAATATAGGTAGGTCGGTACAAGCACGTAATACCAGATGAGTGTACCTAATACTCTGTAAGAGTGGCGGCCGACCAAGTGCCGTTTAGTCTCTTTATAGGCTAGCAGTATTAAATGTAAAGTACGTTATAAAACCACAGATATGAAAGCAACATTTTATCATTTCCTTTTGTTATCGGGATCATAAAACGTTATAAAGTACTGTAGTCATTAATATATATAATTCTATTTCCCGCCTAAATTATGGTCTCGATGATGTAAGCAATCTCAGTAAAACTCTTACTATTGACCCATAAATATTTAAATCGCGAGAGGATGACCCGTATATTACAAGATCGCGAGTAATTCAATAACGATGTTAACTGAAAACCGTCTTACTTAGATTATTACAGGAGGAATAGTAATCTTGTGGAAATATTGAGCGCGTTGGGTTGAGAGGGCGCGGGTGGCGCGGCGGGCACCGGACGCCGGCGGCTCGGGCGGCGCGAGGGCGGTGCGCGCACGTGCTGGCGTGCGACTGCCGCGCGCCCGGCCGCCGCCCGCCGCGCCCGCCGCGCCAGCCGCGCGCCACCCGGCACTCCAGCCACCCCACGCGGCACGCAACCCATTCCACTACACATTGATTCCACTCGCTGTGTTTTGTTAACACTATTACTGTGACTATTTTATTTTTCTTTCCTATTTAGCTGAAAGTTTGAATCGAGTGAGGGAATCACTAATAATTTACCTTTCTGAAGATTTTATCAATAAAATGTTCTTGTTTCGGAACTCTGTAGCTATATTCCTAGTTGGTAACCTACTTTTTGCATGTCACTACAAGAACATACGTGATTTGAACCCGAGGAGTAATATCCTGAAACAGGAAGCTTAAAACTAAACTGAAATTTGTACATAATCTACTGTAAATCTACTACATTATTAAAGCTCCTTGATCTTAATAAAATGTTGACTAAATTCAGGTTCACTTCCCTTCTGGCTTAAATACTATTCTTTTAAAACACCGCAGTATTTTAGAAGAGCAAGATAATCACATTGCTGCACATTTAAAATGTTCTTACATGCTATATTTAAAACCAAAGATAGCATCTTAAGACTATCGTGCCTATAAATAAATTATGCTGTTTGATAAAAGATTTCAGGACTACCTGTTTTAATACGGCTTGAGTTGTTTGACCTTTGAGTAGAAGAAAGTATTACGCGGTACCTACCTACCTACTTACTAAATAATTTGATCAAACAATCTGTCTCACCAACGAGCCAAACGACGTACAAGGGCACTACTACTTTCTCTAGGGTTTTGTGTTATTTTTGAACCTTTTTATCATGGTTTGGATTATACCAGACAAAAAAATCAGAACTTGATGTCAATAGTAGACTTATTGAACTGATAAAGGCTCTATTGCATAACTATGTATAATACTTGAATTTTCATTTCATTTTCATGTATAAAATACCCCGATTTCGGCCCTGATGAACATAATAAAAAAAAACATTTCAAATTTCATCAAAATGCTTGAGGTACATCCTGAAGTGAAAATTTAAGCTAATATTCTAGTATGCTAGCACACAAACATCATAAAAACTTTGAAATAATGGAACCTCCGTCGGGACGAAGTGAGGAACTACGTGTTACGAGCTACGCAGTACAAGCCACGCACTACGAGCTACGAACTACGAGTTATGTGCTACGACTATGCACTACGAGTTACGCACTACGAGCTACGTACGACGGATTACGCGCTACGAACTATAGGCTACAAGCTACAAGTTATGCGTTACTACAGCGGTAGTATTTCGCCGTACCCTATGACTAAAATTAGAGTTTATAGATTTAGGACTGCGTATGTAGGGTTAGGGTTACTTTTTGACAATGCGAGCTAAACGATTTTATCATGCAAAATTTTACGTGAAAATATTTCTGTGGTATAATCTGAAACCACTAAACGGTGTAAGGTCATTGCATTGCTTGATGTTAGTTTTCATTTAACACCTTTTCTATTATCAACATTGCAAAGGCTCACTTTCCTTGTCCTAATTTCGTGTTACTTTACTCTTATATTTCTATCTGTATAGCCAGATAGACTAGATAGACACATTTCTTATTTAAACTGTCAAACACCAAGCGGTCACCGGTGACCGCAACCTATTGCTCTATAATTGTGTCTATAATGACGGTACTCGACGAGTTAAAACGCGGTTACGATCAAATCAAACACCTTTTATTTGTTAACATAGGTGCATACAGATATAGGTCTTATATATTGTAAGTGGAGTACATACAAATAAATTATTCTATTCTTCTATTCTATATGGTAATAAAAAGAGCTCTATGCTATACCCGGAGGCGTACAAATTGTGGTGAGGTGAAGATGTTATTCGTTGAAAAGGAAATAGAAATCGTATCAGTATTCATTAAGCTTATAATAATATTGCATATAGTACATACAATACATTTTAAATTAACTCGTCGAGTACCGGTTTTGCAGACACAATTATAGAACAATAGGTTGCGGTCACCGGTGACCGCTTGGTATTTGACAGTTTAAAATATGCGAATAGAATATAAATGTATTAAATCTTCTTTAAGTTAAGTTAAATAGCTTTCAGATTTAACAATTAAATTATTGCAATTAAATTAAAAAAATCCTAGGTTTAAATTCTCTTTCTTAGCCTATCTACTTCAATAGACTCAATACAAGAAACATTTAGACTTTATGTTCGGAATAAAAGGTTATACGTGTATAGCAGAATATTAAGTTTAATGAGCACCAAAGAAACAAAGTCCTTAGTTTCTAACAGGCTATTTGCTAAGAAAACCAACGCAAGGACTTGTTAATTAAAAGTTTGAATGTATAAAATTAGACACAAGTTTGTGGTTTTTTGAACACATGTTTTCGGTACTCATAAAATCTTTATGACTTGAATACCTTTATTTATCTACTTAATATAAATACTTAGTATGTTGCCCAGTCAGCACATTTCGGGCTAATAAATAACACGTTGTTGTCATCACTCATTCATATATTTTTTTATTTTATTATTTGTTTATTTATGTTTGAAACACACAGGTTAGTACGTTATAATTTAAGCCCCACAAAACCGGTGCAATGGTTTGACTGTGGGGTCGAGTCACTAGGCATTACAATTAATGTAGTTATAAATATTATACAGGCGTTGAAACGTATATAGAATTTAAGACAAAATTAAATTAAATTTCAACTTATATGGCACCTACGAATTAAAAACCATTACTATACCATGCTTATGAAAGTTATACCACGCTTTACTTTGTGTAAATTACTAAGTTGAAATTAAAAACTTGGTACTGACTAAACTTTATTTTTAGTTCTTAATACGATCTTATATGATATAACATGTAATGTTTTACGTAAAACCTCGGACATTTTTTTATTTGAAACTCAACATTTACAATAGAACATTGAGTAGCTGCTGCCTGTAGAACGCGTCACCGCGCAACGGGCGGCGCCGCTGAGTGCCTCTACGCCGTAGGCGCTGCGTAGCACTGTCTACAAACTCAAGGCTTCTATTTCCTTTGTTAACATCAACGTTACTTTCATACAATTATAATATTATCCATTTCTTGATGAGCTCATGGCTAAGTTCATAACCTTGTAAATCAATCAATCTTAAATATCAAAACGAAGGTGAATTAAGAGTGTTGTTTGCCTATATGGATATAACCAATAGTGACTATACTTGATACCTTGATAATGTATCCAGTGAAGAGAAATACCATAAACTATCGGAAGACTTCAAAACTAGTGCAAATCAGGAAGTTCCTAGGATCTTAAAGCACATGTGTCTCCTCTACAATTCCCTAAAATCCCATTAACTTTTCCCAAAAATTCATTAAACAATAAAGAAATAAACATTCATACTAATATTTCAAATTATTAAATGTGTGTGTATCTGTATAGAACATCACGCTACGATCAATAAGAGCCAAGCTCCGGATGAAACCGCGCGGGAGTAATTATACTTGAGACCTAATCTGTATCGCACTATCCACTTAGCTTATGTCCCATTACGTTAACCATTCCAAACTGCAATCATCCCCTTGTAATAATCCAGAGGGACTACAAATTAATAATCGCTAATGAGAGACAGTCGTTGCAGTAAGAACTGTACCAGAACCTAACGGGTAACCGGGGCTCCGGCTCAACGTGCAGGAGAAGGAACGGGGTGGTTTTTAGTCAGTAAGAGTCTGACACTCCCTCCCGCCTCACCCAAGTGGGACCAGACATTTGATGATGAAAAAAAATGTATGTACAACCGTAAATATTTGCTAAGTACCTATTGCGACTCGACTACAACGTCGAATCTTTGTTCACATGGTGTGGTAATTATAAAAAAAACTCCGGATTGGGTCTTCCTAAAATAAAACAATAAAATAAGTGCAAGTAAATCAAGCATGCCTATTGTATGAAGACACAAAACGAGAATATCAAGTGTGCTAATATTGGTATAAAGCACCTAGTTCATCAGTGATAAACAACTCGAGGTATTCGCACATTGGTAGCTGGTCACAATATGCGTCCTGACTCAAGGATCTTTCATTTTTGACTTCAATCTTAATTATAATAACGACTTCGATTTTTAATTTCAATCTATAGATTTATTTAAAAAAGTAAGGTTTTTTTCCTCTTTGAAAAAATGAAGAAATTACGTTATGGCTTAACTACTTACATCCTTTAAAAGTTGAGATAATTGACAGATAAAAAAGCCGACGGAGCTATCAAATGAAACGTAATTCATATCTAAATGTATAATAGCTCATGCTCGTAGTATCAAATATCATGGACACGATTAAATTGTACCATGGGGAAAAATTTTGTTCTACTCCACAAATTGTACTCTAGTACTAGCTACTCCCCCCGATTTTACCCGCTGCTCGGTTCTTGTTGAACACACCTACTTAGCATGATTTTTATAGCCTTCGTCGACAAATGGACTATCCAACATGAAAAATTCAAAAGGATAATTTAATTCGAACCAGTAGTTCCGAATATTATAGCTTTTAAATATACTCTTCAGCTTTATAATAATTAGCATATCATTAGAAAAGCTAGTTTCAGTTGGGATGTATCGTATTTTTCAAGTGTTATATTAATAGCTTTTTAACAAGGAAGAGGATATAAGCATCTGAAGCGTTCGAATCCTAGGTCGATTAAAATAATACCGGAAGACTTTTTTTTTCAAAAATCATGATATAAAATATTTAGATTAATATATATTTTAACGGTTTAATAACAAAAATCTTACAATGCTATAGATAATGCTTAAAATTCAAGATATACATTTTAGTCAAGTCTCAGCTTTTTTCATCATGATCTATCTGCGGCTTTCAATAGAGTTAGAGATAATATTGAATTATATAATAAATAATGCAACTTATCACCGTCATATGATCTTTGGATCATAGTCTATATTAAAATGTTCGTTTTCCATAAAAAATATTAAATGAGAGTATTAGTATTCTTTGGTTGTGGATGGCGTAGCGTATGGTAAATATAAAATGTCCAAAGACAAAAGGAATTTGTGACAATTGTCAGAATGAGTTGTCAGTACTGTCATACTGACGTTTCATGTTGAATGTATTTTTGGCTATTGTATTGCTGCTGGGTTTGAGATTCGTAAATCCTAAATATTTATTCATCATTCTGACCAATATTTGTATCCTTTTCAGTAATGTAATCACATTACTGGCTATTCATTTACATTTTGATATTGATTATTAACAAATCGTGTATTTCCAACATGGATATAAAATTTATGAAACCAATACAACCTAAGGTCTTCAAAGCAATCAAAGACCTGGATATTGAAGCTCTTAAGAATTTTACACAAGATGAAATGAGACCTATAATACCATGTTTGGTTCGAATGACACTTATTGCCCCACTCGACACGACCAGAGCTTGTGGAGAAGCTAAGAAAGACGTACTCACGCTGCTGGCCGGTATAGACTTGGTTAATTTCATTGTATCCCTGTTATCTATTGAATTTAATGCATTAGAAAGTGACCTTAAGAAAGAGCAGCAAATGAGGTAATTTTGACATTTTATAATTTGTTTATTACTTATTTAAAACAAACATAAGCAAGATTTTAACTGTATCAAATCATATTACTGTTTTTTTTTTAGATTGAAAAATGGATCACAGTGCACTGAAACCTTTCTGATACAAAGTATAAATAATGGTATAACTAGTGACTTTGAACAGTCAGACTCTCCTCGGAAAGTTCGATTGGTTTTATCAGAATTGTTACTGATGCAAGCACAGTTGGCTGAGTACAACCAAAACAAGAATTCCAATGTAGAATGTGGTGTAAAGCCATCAGAACTGTTTGACAATGATGTGTACCTGGAAGAAGTCACTGATGTTATCAACATCAGTCTTGCAGAACTGCCAAACTTACTCAATGTTATTGACATTGTTGAAGTGTTGCTTTATGTCAACAAAGGTCCTATTATAATATCATGGGTGCTGGCAAACATGCCTGATTCTGTACAAGAAGGTAATTATTTATTTTTATTAGAAAAATTTCATTTTCTCATTAACAAAACCTTATTGTCTGCAATAATGTGAGTATTTCAGTGCGGCTTCACCCACTCTACTTGGCTCCTATTGATCATAGAGTGATGTTTTATAGCCTATAACCTTCCTCGATAAATGAACTATTCAACACAAACAGAATAATTCAATTTGAATGAGTAGTTTCACAGAGTAGCACATTCAAACAAACAACCTCTTCAGTTTTATATGACATGGCCACTAGGCGACATAGTCTTGTAAAATATAAAAAGCACCTTTTGGTTTTATATTTAAACAACCTAAAATAAGCCTCATTACCCTGCTAATAAAATACAATTTTACATTCTGCCAACTTAATCCACCATTACTAAGGTGGGCTCTGTATTTGTATCTATAGAACATGTTCGAAGATATTGTAAGTACGTATAGGGAGCCTATTTCATTGAGTATTTAAAAATCTATAAATAAATTAATATTTGATTGAAAAACTTCTATGACATACCTGTAAAAATGTATGTTTTAGTTTGAGATTTTTCTCTTCAGTTTGTGAAGTTGTGAATGTGAAATAGTTTGTAAATTCTCCTACAACACAAGATAACCTTAGTGTGGGAGCAATGTTTTTTAAACAAAAAAATGGGACTTAATGGGCGAAAGATGGCCATTACATTGATCTAATAAATAATCAGAACTAGGCCCATGGTTATTATTGATATTAACAAAAATACCTGGCCAAGATCTTCAATCTTCCCATTTGGCTTTCATACATTGTGCAATTCTCCTTTGTGTAGTAGATTTAAAAGTATATGTTTTAAAGTTAAATAATTTTAAGGGCACTTATAAATGACAAATATATCAAATTATGACTGTTGGTCCATTACTAAACTAAGAAAAAATGGCAGAGTAAACAATTTATCCTGAAATATTTTGATTTCAGTGGCTGAATCACTTGTGATGAATGCTGACAGAAGTGAAGAAGGTGGTATTAGAGCTAAAACTCTAACCACTTTGTGTGCTGCCTGTCCACATTTGGCAGCAGCTGTTAGATCGAAAGCCGCATCAGCATCCCGGCTGCCTTCACTGGTCATTACACTTACCTTGACGCATCACCATGATGACTTGGTAAGATACTCAATCAGTTTTACTTAATTAATACTTAAATATGTATATGTATTTTATATTGTTATTTTGCTTTTATTGTTTTTTACTGCTGTTTTTCATTGTTTTTAATATTGGTTTTTCATTGTTATTTTATGTTCGTATATTTGGTGCATCATGCATAATGAGCTAATGACAAATAAATTATTTTTCTTTCTCTCAAATATTATTGGATATGCTTGAAAACATTGCTTACACATTTTGTCATTGTATTTATTTGTGCACAGGTTTCCTTTATGTCTGGGCTCCTACTTGGATCGGACCAAACAACAAGAGCTTGGTTTGCTACATTCTTACGTAACTCCCACAAAAGAGGCAAGGGTGATGGGCATGCGGCATTAACAAAACTAAGGCAGGAATTACTGAACAGGCTGAAAGATGCCACTGCTGGTGTTGAGGCATCAGCTCTACTGCGACTTTACTGTGCTCTCAGGGGGATTGCAGGAATAAAGTTCCAAGACGATGAAGTAGCTGGACTATTGAGGCTTGTTACACAAAAACCACCACCAACCCCAGCTGGAGTACGATTTGTGTCCTTAAGTCTCTGCATGATTCTTGCCTGTCCGTCTTTGATGGGTAAGTAATGAAAAAATGTTAAAAACTGAAAAAAAAAATATTATGTATGTTTGTAATGTTTTCACACAAAAAGTATGGTCCGATTTAAAAAATCCTTTACCATTAGAAAGCTGCATCTTTACTGAACAAAACACTGCCGAAGACACTAGGTCCACGCAACGAAGTCGCGAGCATAACGGGTAACGGGCTAGTACTTGATAAGACACAAAAAACATGGACACCTACAGAATTTTAAACAATTTGCATGTTAATGAACTGTTTTATTTTTTCTCAGCTGCTCCTGACCACGAGAAAAAGGCCATAGAATGGGTGCAATGGCTAGTTAAAGAAGAAGCTTACTTTGAAAGGTAAAACTAGCTTATATTCATTGAGTTATTAGTAAATGTGAATTCAAATGTAACACACAAAAGTTTTATTTTGTTACAGTAATTCTGGGGTAACAGCATCATTTGGTGAAATGCTGTTATTGATAGCTATACATTTCCACTCTGGTCAGTTGACAGCCGTCGGTGAACTAGTGTGCGCCACTCTTGGAATGCGCGTACCAGTTCGCCCTAATGGGTTAGCAAGAATCAAACAAGCATTTACTCAAGAAATCTTTACTGAACAGGTATGTGAAATTGTTGTCTAATATAATTCAATATTTTTTTTAAATTATGGGTATATATCATATCCATATCCATCTAATCTGTTTTCTATATTTTCAGGTTGTAACAGCCCATGCCGTGAAAGTACCGGTAACAGCGAATCTTAATAGTAACATACCAGGTTATTTACCAGTTCATTGCATTCACCAACTCTTAAAATCTCGGGCATTTTCTAAACATAAAGTCCCTATTAAAAATTGGATTTATCGTCAAATATGCAACTGCACAGCACCCTTGCATCCCGTTATGCCAGCCTTAGTTGAAGTGTATGTCAATTCCATACTTATTGTTAACAACAAAGGCACTAATGAATATGTCAACAAGCCCATAATGGAAGAAGAAATCAGGAAAGTGTTTAGAAATTCCATATTTGGTGCAAATTTTGATGTACAGAGTAAACCATTTGCACCAATGGAAATCGATAATGGAGAAACATCTACAGAAATTAACATAGAAAAACCAACTCTTGCATCACAGCTACTCTTAATTTACTACCTACTATTGTATGAAGATGTACGATTAGCCAACACCGCGACACTCATGACAAATGGACGGAAAGTAAAGAGTTACTCAGCAGCTTTCCTATCTGAGCTACCAATAAAATATTTACTCCATCAGGCTCAAAAAGACCAGATGAGTTACGGTGGTTTATTCAGTCCCTTACTTCGCCTATTAGCTACGCACTTCCCACAACTGTCTCTGGTTGATGACTGGATGGACGATCAAGTTTTTGGAGATTCAAACCGCCACCAAGTAGATGTAAATCTTTCAGAAACCGCTATAAACGATGCATTCCAAACAATCGAAGAAAACCCCTACAAGACTGGAAAGATTTTAAAAGCTATGCTTAACAAGAATCCTACAGACATATGGCCTTATGCTGAAACATTTGTAAAGTATTTCAAAAGTGTACTTGGGGATGAAGTTCCGCGACACATTCAAGAATTATATCACGAGGTATGGTTACGCCTCAATACAGTACTGCCGCGTTGCTTGTGGATAATGACAATCAACGCTTTACTCGATATCAATGGGGGTGTCAAGAATGTAACCATCACACAGGAGAACGTGTTGGTAGACCCTTTACAAGTGTTACGCTGCGACATCAGAGTTTTCAGATGCGGGCCTATTTTAAAAATAATATTACGGATTCTCGAAGCAAGTTTAGCTGCTTCTAGAAGTCAACTTAGTCGACATTTATTAGACAAACCCTTGCTTGAAAAAAGTGGACAACTCAATTCAGATGCTGAAAGAGAAGAACTTAAGAATGCTTTGGTCGCAGCACAAGAAAGTGCTGCATTGCAAATATTATTGGAAGCATGTTTGGAGACTGCAGAGGACGAAGCCAAACCTGAGCTGATGTGGTCTCTTCGTGAAGTGAGAAGTATAATATGTTCTTTTCTTCATCAAATATTTATATCAGAGCCATCTCTAGCTAAATTGGTACACTTCCAAGGGTACCCTCGGAAATTGCTGCCTGTGACAGTTCAAGGAATTCCTTCAATGCATATTTGTTTAGATTTCATACCAGAACTCCTTAGCCAGGCGTCACTCGAAAAACAAATATTTGCTGTAGACCTTGTATCACATTTGTCTATACAGTACGCCTTACCCAAAGCTATGTCTATTGCAAGATTATGCGTCAACACTTTGTCGACATTGTTATCGGTTCTCCCAAGTGACTTGCGATTGGAACTGTTCCAACCGGTGCTTAAATCTTTAGTAAGGATTTGTACCGCATTTCCGTCGCTACTAGAAGACATAACTTCGCTGCTACTACAACTTGGAAGAATTTGCGAGTCTCAGGCATCTCTAGGCCATTGCTGGAATGATACCAGTATACTTGGTGAAGGAGCCTATGTGCCTTCTGATGTGCAACCTGATACTAAAGTTTTGGTTGCCGAAGTTCTATGTAGGGATATCAAAGTAACAATGTCTGAAATTGTTGAAAAAGCATTATTAAATGATAAACTGTATTAAATTTGTTCACCTTATTGTAAGTGGATTTATTTTATCAATAAAGAAATAAAAACATTTTCAGTAATTCTATGGAATTTTATTTACGACTGTGAAATACAGTTATCACGCTGTTATACATACAGTTAAAACTATGTAAAAACATGTTTGGATTTTTAACCAACCGCTTCGATGTTAACGTCAAGTTTTACAATGGCATCGTTTTCAAAACTAGCATCATGCAAGTGCAACTAGTGGCGTCATACAAATGCGATGCGAAACTCGTGTTGCGAAATTGTAAAGGCATAACGCTAGGCAGCGGAGCCATGGCAATACAAATGTGCTATTGAATACAGAATGTGTATTATAATTTTTAATAAAATGTTTGACAAGAGGTCTCGTTTACGATTCCCGGGTCGGGCAAAGTATTACTGGATGTTTTAAAAAAATCTCATTAGTAGAATGGAGGGTATAATTATGGAATTGGCTAACCCCCTATTAAATGGGACTCATAAATTGTGAAAAGTGGGTGTTGCATTGTACAGTCGTATTAATCCATTTGGATCCAAATACAAACTACATGTATTTTTTTTTTCAAAAAACCTTTATTAACTCAATAATGATACCCACAAACTAATATCTAGTAAATAGTAGTAGCTATTTTCGATACATAAAGTTCTAACGTGCATTATTTGCATTGATATCAGTTTTTTTTGTGGAGAACTGCGCATTGTAACAGATATTACCTAAATCTCTGCGGAGTGTCCGAATCAATCTGATGTGACGCGTCTATATTATTTGAGGGTAGAAATCAAGCATTGCATTTTCCACCGGGGGAACTCTTACTGACTAAAAACCAACACGTTCCTAATTCTGCTTCAAGTCGGAGCCCCGGTGGGTTACCAGGGTCAGGTCAGGCCAGGTCATCCAGTTTTTTTTTTTTATGGAATAGGAGGCAAACGAGCAGACGGATCACCTGATGGTAAGCGATCAGCGCCGCCCATGGACACCCGCAACACCAGAAGAGTCACAGGTGCGTTGCCGGCCCTTTAAAAAGGAGTACGCTCTTCTCTTGAAGGTTTGTAGGTCGTATCGGTTCGGAAATACCGCCGACGACAGATAATTCCACAGTTTTGCTGTGCGAGGCAGGAAGCTACGTGAGAACCGCACAGTTGTGGCCTGCCAACCATCTATATGATGGGGATGCATATGCTGTCGTGAGGGTCGATGGCGAAAAGATGCGGCAGGTATCAGGTCAAACAATTCCTCAGAGCACTCCCCGTGGTATAAGCGGTAGAAAATAAATAGACAATGACAATAATAGACAATGAAGCTACATCTCTACGCATTGCCAAAGTATTGAGCCGGTTTGAAACACCCGGACATCCAACAATCCGAACGGCACGCCGCTGAATGCGGTCCAGAGGAAGAAGCTGGTACTGGGGTGCCCCCGCCCAAAGATGAGAACAGTACAGTGGTCGGGCATCAGTCCTACTGGGTCATCTCAATCTATGGTAGTCTAATGGCACTTTGAAGCGCGCACATAACGCCATGCGCCTTATACGTACAGGTCTGGTTCTGGGCAGCGAACTGCCCTTGTTAGCATGACTGCTTCGCAGAAAGAGGTGGTTTTCCAGTTCCCTCGCTCCGCACTACAGCCAGAACCAAAGCCGGACGTTTAAGATCGTCGATCACTTCTCTGAGCACACGGCGGTGCTCATCGTATACAGGGCATACCTACTGCTACTCTATCCTCTGGGTGGTCCTCGCAGTGACGACACCAGAATACAGCTGGAGAAAATGCCCCCTACCGCTGAATTCTGATATCTGATGCGACGCCTGGTATTGCAGGTGGCGTTCTGCATCTTCGATCTTGATGCCTGATCGAATCTGATACTTTAGATATGAACGCGTAAGGTAATGGCGGAATTAATGATGATCTTCGTGAATTGGCGTATGTAGTCACCAAGTATTAGCTATAACTAAGGCTGGCCTATAGATGAACTTTGTAAATTAGAAAACAAAATACATAACAGGTAAAAATGTTGTAAAATATACTGCAGATGTGCACAATTGAAAGTATAAGAATATTCTTCAATATTGTTCTAATTGACACTATAAAAGTCTTATAAACTTTCATAGCAAGAAACTATAAAACGCCTCTCGTTTTGAAAATAATTCCCATGTCACTTACTCTTGATAAAATTGACAATAGGGTCATATTGTTATAATATATATCCTTTTTGTAGCAATTTGTGAAAACTTCTAATAATTTTAGGAAAGTACAGTACAGTACTCCTCATAAGAAATACCCATGAAATGCAATGATAGTTAAAAAAAATAAAAACCAACGGGTAGAAGACGCCCTGTCCCTGCCCTGTATGGAGACGGTGGATCCAAATGGGTTAAGTGCCGTAATGTGCACCTCTGCCTTCCCCTTCGAGGATAAAAAAGGCGTGATGTTATGTAAAACACATTTCTAGCGGGCAGAAAATACTGGTAAAATAATTCGTCACTCATGAATCTTTTATTGCAATGCCAATTTGGGTTAAGAAAATAAAAGTTGAGGTTGCTTATTAGTGCATTTAATACATTACAAGCAATAAATTTGACGGTTCTACAGAATTTTGTAATTCTAATTGCCTGTACATCCAAGCACATTGATTTCTTGCGGCGTGGTTACCAATGTCATGGTACAGCTGTGCCTAAAATATAAAATGACAAAATAATTTATGACTCTTGTTTAGGAATACGTACAAATTATTCAGAAAGATATAGAAATTAAGCTTACTTGTAAATACCATGTTTGAAGTAGTCTGAGATGCGCGCCGACTTTAGTAAAATTCTTTTTAACATTTTCTAAAGCTTCACAACACGACTGCAATACTTGCATCCGAGCCTCTCCGCATGGAGCTGCGGTCGCAATCCGACACTTCGTGTACAACAACATGGCTGAAATTTAAATTATACTCCTTTTTATTTCTCCTCTTTATTTTGAAATTAACACATTATGATTAAAAATATTCTATTTTACCTCTACCCATATCATATGCACCACCGTCTGCCATTATAGTAGGCAAAGCCTTCCTCACAAGAGATAAAGCATTTTTTGCACATCCCATACTTAGCTGGACATTAGCTAAATGCATTTCAGCTGATGCAGCTAAATAATGTAAATGATATTCTTTTGCAAGCCACAGGGCTTCATTGAGTTGCATTATATTTGTGGATTGTATATTACTGAATGAATGTTGGACTTGAGACATCAATATCAAAGCTTTCACTCGCAGTGATATATAGTGTAAACTGTCATCCTCAGTCTTGCAGAAGTCGAGGATGTCATACAGAGACTCCAACGCTTCGGTCGCGTCCCCTTTCAGATAATACATCTCCGCTTTAAGGAGCTGACTCTCCCATCTGTTGGACGACGCCAACTGTCTTATACTTTGTTCTGCTTCCTCCCATTTGCCTGAAACGGTTTAGAATCGTTTAGGAGTGACCGCAAGTAGCTGTCGGTGGCGTGCGGCAGTGTGTGTACCCTTGTGCAGCGCGCGCTCGGCGTGCAGGCGCGCGGGCGGCGCGGGCGGCGCGTGCTGCTGCAGCGCCAGCGA